CCTGCTGCAAAGAGTAAAAACAGATGGGCCGGGCGCGGTGGCTCAAGCCTGTAATCCCAGCACTTTGGGAGGCCGAGGCGGGTGGATCACGAGGTCAAGAGATCGAGACCATCCTGGTCAACATGGTGAAACCCCATCTCTACTAAAAATACAAAAAAAAATCAGCTGGGCATGGTGGCACGTGCCTGTAATCCCAGCTACTCAGGAGGCTGAGGCAAGAGAATTGCTTGAACCCAGGAGGCGGAGGTTGCGGTGAGCCGAGATCGCGCCATTGCACTCCAGCCTGGGTAACAAGAGCGAAACTCCGTCTCAAAAAAAAAAAAAAAAAAAAAAAAAAGACAGATGGACAAGGGATACTCCAGTCCTCAAAGAGCTTCGAAGTCTGCAATGAGCGCTATCCATTAATAAGTGCTTAATAAATGTCTGTACATAAATGAATAAAAGGACAAATAAATGCTGGAATAACCAAACAAAGCAGCAAGGATTAAATGGTAGAGGTGAGGCAGCGTGAGTGGTAAAGTCAAGGGAGCAGGCCGGGTGCTGTGGCTCACGCCTATAATCCGAGCACTTTGGGAGGCCAAGGTGGGTGGATCACCTGAGGTCAGGAGTTCAAGAACAGCCTGGCCAACATGGAGAAACCCAATTTTTATTTAAAAAAAAAAAAAAGGCCGGGCGCGGTGGCTCAAGCCTGTAATCCCAGCACTTTGGGAGGCCGAGGCGGGTGGATCACGAGGTCGAGAGTTCGAGACCATCCTGGTCGACATGGTGAAACCCTGTCTCTACTAAAAATACAAAAAATTAGTTGGGCATGGTGACTCGTGCCTGTAATCCCAGCTACTCAGGAGGCTGAGGCAGGAGAATTGCCTGAACCTAGGAGGCGGAGGTTGCGGTGAGCCGAGATCGCGCCATTGCACTCCAGCCTGGGTAACAAGAGTGAAACTCCGTCTCAAAAAAAAAAAAAAAAAAAATTAGCCTGGTGTGGCGGTGTACACCTGTAGCCTCAGCTATTTGGGAGGCCGAGGCAGGAGAATCGCTTGAACCTGGGAGGTGGAGATTGCAATGAGCCGAGATCGCGCCATTGCACTCCAGCCCGGGTAACAAGAGCGAAACTCCGTCAAAAAACAACAACAACAAAAAGCCAGGCGCGGTGGCTCAAGCCTGTAATCCCAGCACTTTGGGAGGCCGAGACGGGTGGATCACGAGGTCAAGAGATCGAGACCATCCTGGTCAACATGGTGAAACCCCATCTCTACTAAAAATACAAAAAATTAGCTGGGCATGGTGGCGCGTGCCTGTAATCCCAGCTACTCAGGAGGCTGAGGCAGGAGAATTGCCTGAACCCAGGAGGCGGAGGTTGCGGTGAGCCGAGATCGCGCCATTGCACTCCAGCCTGGGTAACAAGAGTGAAACTCCGTCTCAGGAAAAAAAAAAAAAAAAAAGAGTCAAGGGAGGCAAGTCCAGGTCCAAGGAATCCGGGAGGGCCCCCGTCATCTCCCTTTCCTGGCAGCATCTCTATATGTGTTTGGGTAATAGTAAGAATAATATACCTGATACACGAAATGCACTTAGTATGTGTATGCCACTAATTTACACATTTTAATACTTTTTTTCTGAAACAGGGTCTCGCTATGCCACCCAAGCTGGAGTGCAGTGATGGGATCATGGCTCACTGCAGCCTTGACCTCCAGGCTGTTTCCATCCACCGACCTCAGCCTTCTGAATAGCTGGGATTACAGCCAAATGCCATCACACCCAGCTAATTTTTGTATTTTTTGTAGAGATGGGTTTTTGCCATGTTGCCCAGGCTGGGCTCAAACTCCTGGACTCAAGTGACTTGTCAGTGTTGGCCTCCTAAAGTGCTGGGATTACAGGCATGAGCCACCATGCCCAGCCAGTAATCATAATCCTGACAAAACCCTAAGAGGAAACTGGGGCACAGAGAGGTTAAGAATCTTACGGAGCTCACATAGCCAGTGGCATAACAAGGACTTGAACCCAGGCATCTGGCGCCAGAGCCTTGATGACAAGGCAGTTTATTTTTTATTTATTTATTTATTTTTGAGATGGAGTCTCACTCTGTCGTCAGGCTGGAGTGTAGTGGCACGATCTCAGCTCATTGCAATCTCCACCTCCCAGGTTCAAGCGATTCTCCTGCCTCAGCCTCCCAAGTAGCTGAGGCTACAGGCGTACACCGCCACACCAGGCTAATTTTTGTATTTTTAATAGAGACAGGGTTTCACCGTGTTTGGCCAGGCTCATCTCGATCTCTTGACCTTGTGATCCACCCTCCTTGACCTCCCAAAGTCCTGGGGATTACAGGCGTGAGCCAACACACCCGGCCACAAGGCAGTTTAAAAACTGAGTAGCTGGGCGCGGTGGCTCAAGCCTGTAATCCCAGCACTTTGGGAGGCCGAGGCGGGTGGATCACGAGGTCAAGAGATCGAGACCATCCTGGTCAACATGGTGAAAACCCATCTCTACTAAAAATACAAAAAATTAGCTGGGCATGGTGGTGCGTGCCTGTAATCCCAGCTACTCGGGAGGCTGAGGCAAGAGAATTGCTTGAACCCAGGAGGTGGAGGTTGCGGTGAGCCGAGATCGTGCCATTGCACTCCAGCCTGGGTAACAAGAGCGAAACTCTGTCTCAAAAAAAAAAAAAAAAAAAAAAAAAAAAAAAAAAAAAAACAACTGAGTACTGGGCCTGGCACGGTGGCTCATGCCTGTAATCCCAGCACTTTAGAAGACCAAGTCAGACGGATCACTTGAGGTCAAGAGTTAAAGACCAGCATGGCCAACATGGTGAAACCCTGTCTCCATTAAAAATACAAAAATTAGCTGGGTGTGGTGGCACAAACCTGTAGTTCCAGCTACTCAGGAGGCTGAGGCAGAAGAATCACTTGAACCTGGAAGGCAGAGGTTGCAATAAGCCCAGATCACACCACTGCACCCCAGCCTGGGTGACAGAGCAAGACTCCGTCTCAAATAAAAAAAGATCACTTCTCAGCCTTTTGGCCAAGATCAAGTTTAAAAAAAAAAAAAGAGTACTGACTTGAGATTTGTATGTAAAATTTGTTTTCCTCAAGCCAGAAAAGAACTAGGGAAATAAATACTGAACTCCAGTCTATGTGAAGCTTCTGAAGGGTTTGGATGTAAAATGTACTGATACTTGCAATTTTTAAAGATATTTAAGCCGGGCGCGGTGGCTCAAGCCTGTAATCCCAGCACTTTGGGAGGCTGAGGCGGGTGGATCACGAGGTCAAAAGATTGAGACCATCCTGGTCAACATGGTGAAACCCTGTCTCTACTAAAAATACAAAACATTAGCTGGGCATGGTGGCGTGTGCCTGTAATCCCAGCTACTCAGGAGGCTGAGGCAGGAGAATTGCCTGAACTCAGGAGGCAGAGGTTGCGGTGAGCCGAGATGGCGCCATTGCACTCCAGCCTGGGTAACAAGAGCGAAACTCCGTCTCAAAAAAAAAAAAAAAAAAAAAAAAAAAAAAAAAAAAAAGATATTTAAAATGAGATGGATTGATAAATATGTGATAAAGCAAATAAAAGATGTTAACAGAGCCGGGTGCAGTGGGTCACTCTGTAATTCCAGCACTTCGGGAGGCTAAGGTGGAACGATTGCTTGAGGCCAAGAGTTCAAGACCAGCCTGGGCAACATCGTAAGACCCATCTCTACAAAGCCTCATGTGGTAGCAGGTGCCTGCAGTCCTAGCTACTCAGGATGCTGAGGTGGGAGGATCACTGAGCCCAGGAATTCAAGGCTGCAGTGAGCTATGATTTTACCACTGCACTTCAGGCTGAGTGACGGAGCGAGACCTCCCCATCTCAAAAACAAAACAAAAAATGTTATCTAGTAGTGTCTAGGTGGTAAGAATATGTTCACTGTTCAATTCTTTTCATTTCATCCTATGTTTGTACTTTTTTTTTTTTTTTTTTTTTTTTTGAGACAGGGTTTCGCTCTTGTTTACCCAGGCTGGAGTGCAATGGCGCGATCTCGGCTCACCGCAACCTCCGCCTCCTGGGTTCAGGCAATTCTGCTGCCTCAGCCTCCTGAGTAGCTGGGATTACAGGCACGCGCCACCATGCCCAGCTAATTTTTTGTATTTTTAGTAGAGACGGGGTTTCACCATGCTGACCAGGATGGTCTCGATCTCTTGACCTCGTGATCCACCCGCCTCGGCCTCCCAAAGTGCTGGGATTACAGGCTTGAGCCACCGCGCCCGGCTTGTTTGTACTTTTTAATAATCAACTGTAAAAAACCCTGAATATTATTCAGCTTAAGGAACATGGAGGATGGGGAGAAGGGTGAGGGAGGAAGTAGAAGTTTCTTGAATTTGGAAGGGGAAATGCAAATGAATATGGACCCACCCAAGCACCAGATCTCCTCCTCACCCTTTGCCTTACACGAGTTCCCCAGTCTTCACCCTCCGCAAGGAGTAAGCCTGCAATCCTCTAGCACCCATCTCCGTCTCCATCGCAGTGCCACTAAGAAGCCTTCACCCAGGTCTCTCCAGAGAGCCTCAGGCGGCTGCCTTTACTTAGTTCTGTTTTCAATGCCAGAAAGCTGCCTCCTACAGGAAGTTTACCTGGATTGCGCATACCTCCTTTCCATCACCAACTTTCTGTCCTAGATGGATCCACAGGGCTCATGTAGATCTAGTCTGTCACATCCTGTGTGTTAATCAGACACAAGTGGGTCACCCCAAATATGCCAGGGCTCCCAGTCTGATGTGGGAGTGGAGTGTGTGTCCACACACATACACCAAGATCAAGCAGTCTCAACAGATGCAGTGTAAGGGGTAGTAAAGAAAAAGTTAACCAAGGAAGACACCTGAAGGAGGTGGATGTTGGCTGACCAGTGGCAGGATCCGTGAAATGACGAGATGACAGCCCTAGCTATAGGCCTAAGAGTTTGAAAGAAAAGATGTTGTAACCCTAACCCTCAAGCCGAACTTCCTCTCCTAGCAATGCTGGGGAGGAACCCAGGCTACGGGAGAAGTTAAAGCCAGAGGAGAGGCAGGAATGTCTGAAGTGGCAACGCTTCTCTCCAGCCAGACAGCGCTGGCCAATTTGGAGTCTGTTTATCCTGCAGGCCACGGGCTCTGGGTAAGCTGGGAATGGGCAGGGACTTGGTGGAAGGATGGTCACACCCCAGAGTCAGATGAAGCTACGATGACGGGTGGGAGAGCATGGTTTTGAGTTTCCCTGGACTGTGGAGGAATCCTCTGAGTCTCTGCTCCCCAAATAATGAAAGACAATCCCTTTCTATGCCCACAGCCCTTATGGCCTCCACCTGGGGTTCTGCTCCCCACTCTCCAGAATTCCTCTTAAACCCAGAAGGATTGCAGTTTCCAGACCCTACTCAGTATATTTGGCTCTGGGGTGAAGACAGTGGCCCCCTCTTTGCCCTCAAACAGGAACCAGTGGTTGAAGGGCAGGAAGTGCCTGAGGGGAAGTTAAGGGGCCCCAGACGCTCCTCCATGCCCCACTTCAGCCCCAGCGACATCTGCCTGAAGGAAGCGGATCTCCACACCAGCCAAGGGGGCCCCCACACTCCTGCGCTGCTCAGAGGCTCAGGGAGCAGCCCAGCTGTTGGGTGTGCTGATATCACCCTCCCTACTTCCTCTCAGTGCCCACACCCACCCAGGCCCAGGCTCCTTCCGCTCGATCAGCCCCTTACCAGCACCTAAAACCATGCAGGGCTGGAAAGGCCCCATCAAACCACCTAGTCAGCCCAGGGCAGAGGAAAGGGCTGGGCTCTGGAGCTGGACAGAGCTGGCCTTAAACTCCAGCTCCACTCTTCTGGGATGGAGATAGTAAAGTTCAGGCTTGAATCTCGGGTCCGTACTTGGACAATGGACACCATGATACCCTGTGTTCTGACGATTAGCAGTGAGGAATGGAAAGTGTCCAGCTCAGGGTTGGCACATAAGTGAGGCTCCCCAGCCTGGGAACGATCATAACAGAGGGCCCCTCACTTCGCAGATGAGGAACTTGAGGCACGTGACTAACCCCTGATCATTTCACCTAAAAGAGCAAGGACTAGAGTTTGACTTCCAGGCCAGTCCCTGATCCCCGACTTAATAACGTCACATTTCAATGGCAATATGTGTAAGTAAAGGGCCTCTAGCATCTGCTTAGGGAGGGTACTGGGAGCTCAGGAGGTGATGGGGAACAGTGATGTGTGCGGCTCATGACTAGGTGGACAGCCTCTGGGGACAGCTGATGCAGGAGGGAAAGGGACCTCACAGGAGGCCCCCAAACAGCAGGGGTTTCAGCGGGAAGCCTCTGAAGGGTGAGTGGTCTCAGCTATGAGGCAAGAGAACCGATGAGGGCACGTACCCTGGTAGGAGGTGAGGTATTGAGGTCTGGGGTGGAGAAGCTCTGAGGGTATATTTTTCTGCCTCTAAACTGTTGGAGAGAGAATCTGAGAAAGCAGCAACCAACCAGGAGGCCGGGGTGGGCTGGAGAGGGAATGGGGTCTCTAACCTTGAGCCTTCTTCCCTATATATAGGTAGTACTTCCCTATGTATAGGTAGTATATACCTCTACGGGGGCCTGGGACTGGGCGGGCTCCTGCTTCTGGCTGTGGTCCTTCTGTCCGTCTGCCTTTGTTGGCTGCATCGCAGAGGTGAGCGCCGCACTCCCTCCTCACCCCGCGTTAGTGCCCCCTGTGGCCCCACCCACACCCTTTCCCGAACTACGGCTGGCTCTGGAGCCATGGGGAAGCCAACAAGGGAGCCCATGCCTGCTGGGGTGGGGAGCCGGTGAGGGGTGGGGAGAAGCACACAGGGTGGGCTGTGCTGAGCTTCTTCTTTTCTTCCAGTAAAGAGGCTGGAGAGCAGCTGGGTGAGTCCGGGGACAGGGAATGGGGAGGGCAAGAGAGGACCCGAGTGGGTGGGCGGGGAGCAGCGTGGCTGGGCACTGAGAGGAGGGGTGGGGGCGGGAGATGAGGAGAGAGAAAAGTAGGAGCGTGAGGAAGGCAGAGAAAATTAGGGCGAGAGAGAGAAAGGGAGACAGAAACCAAGAGAAAAAGTGAGAGAGAGGAGAGGAGTGAGAGACAGGGAGAGAATGAGAGTGAAAAAGACACAAAGAGAAAGTGCAGTGAGAGAGAGTGAGACAGAGACAGAGAGAGAAGCTCCAGAACCAGGCACAGTGGCTCATGCATGTACTTCAGCTATTAGGAGGCTGAAGGAGGATGATGGCTTGAGCTCAGGGGTAAGACCAACCTGGAAAACATAGTGGGACTCTGCCTCCAGAGAGAGAGAGAGAGAGAGAGAGACAGAGAGACAGAGAGAGAGAGAGAGAGAGAGAGAGACAGAGAGAGAGAGAGAGAGAGAGAGTCAGGGAAGTAAGGAAGGCTGGAGGCAGGAGCAGAACTCACTGGCAAGGACCTGAAGGCGTGGCCTCCCATCAGCACCTTCTGTCCCCAGGCCCAGGGCTCCTCGGAGCAGGAGCTCCACTATGCATCGCTGCAGAGGCTGCCAGTGCCCAGCAGCCAGGGACCTGACCTCAGGGACAGAGAAGAGAGAGGCACCAAGGAGGATCCCAGAGCTGACTATGCCTGTATTGCTGAGAACAAACCCACCTGAGCACCCCAGACACGCCCCTCGACCCAGGCAGGCGGACAGGGTCACCCTGTGGTCCACCCAATAAAGACCGTGGTCCCCCCACTTCTGTGTCTCAGTCCTCTCGGTCCATCTCCAGCTTCCGCTCAAAATGATTATCATCAAAACTTCTGTGGCTTTTTGACCTTTGAATAGGGTGTTTGTTATGTAAAAATTAAAATAACCGCCGGGCACGGTGGCTCAAGCCTGTAATCCCAGCACTTTGGGAGGCTGAGACCTCCACTTTGGGTGGATCACGAGGTCAAGAGATCGAGACCATCCTGGTCAACATGGTGAAACCCCGTCTCTACTAAAAATACAAAACATTAGCTGGGCATGGTGGTGCGTGCCTGTAATCCCAGCTACCCAGGAGGCTGAGACAGGAGAATTGCCTGAACCCAGGAGGCGAAGGTTGTGGTGAGCCGAGATCGCGCCATTGCACTCCAGCCTGGGTAACAAGAGCAAAATTCCATCTCAAAAAAAAAAAAAAAAAAAAACCACCCTCCCACCCACTCTGGGGTCAAGTAGTGATTTATTGGGCAAATGAGAGTCTTCAGGGACCCAGGCTCCCCTAACAGCCAAAAGAGAGCATGTGTGGGCCTGGCAGGAAAGGGCAGTTTCCAAGGAGGGGTCATATCTGATCCTTCCCACTTCTCAGGACAATCAGGCTCAGCCTCCTGGGTCTGGGGAGCAGGTGTGCTGAGCCCCCACATGGCGGTGGGAGGGGCCCTGGGCACCACAGCCGGAAGCTGCCTTCTTGGACCTTTCCAGGTCAGACCTGGTGGAAGGGAGAGTTCAGAGTTGGGGGAATCCGGAGAGGGGAGATTGGGCATCTGGAGAATGGAGAAGAAAACACATGAGACTCATAAGGAGGAGTTAGTGGTAGGGCAGAGAGCGATTTATTGGGGTCTTTTGAAGAGGACTGGGGATCACTGGCGTCTGGGATCACTCCTCAGGGGCCATCTGAGGAGTGGCAGCATGTTCCCATGTGACAGTGGCCTGGTCAGAGAGAGGACAGGAGCTGCTCAGTGTCGAAGTCCCCCGAGGCGCTCCTCCTGGTCTCTGTCCCCTCTCCTCCCACTCTCCTACTGCCCCTCCCATCTTGTCCACTACTGCCCCTGGCTCCATTACTCACATTTGTCCTGGTAATAGAGGGTGCTGCCCACGGCCACAGAAAAAAAGCTGGTGGCATAGAATCCAGCCCGAAGGAGGAGGACTGGACCAGCCCCTAGCTGAGGATGTTCTGCACGGGGCCGTGGAGAAAGGGGTTGGGGAAGAAGTGCACATAGGCTTCTTCTGTGTGCACTTCTTTCCAGGAGCATAGGGACCCCAGGGGAGGATCTCTGACTCCCAAGGACATTGCCTCTTGGGACCTCCAGCCAGGAAGAGACACCACCTCCCAGCATCTCACCTTTCTCAACCACCAGCCGAGTCCCATTCCCTGTCCCGACACCCAGGCCCAGCACCTCCACTCTGCAGAAGTAGATGCCGGCGTCATGGCCTCGCACGTCCCGGATGCACAGCTCAGCCTGGTGGTCGTGGAGGAAACGGGAAGAAGCAAGGGGAGCCAGGCGACCCCTGAACTCTGGGGTTCCATTCCTCACCTCCTTCCCTGAAGCCACCTCATCTCGGAACCACATGACGGAGCCAATGGCCAGTTTCCCTCTGCTGGCATTGAAGGAGCAGGGCAGGAAGGCAGAGGATCCTTCCAGGGTGTGAATCTCACGGGGCTGGGACACCCAGAGAGCACAGGATCCTGGAGGCAGAAGGAAGACCCAGAGAAAAGCCTCCTGAGTTACTCCAAACAGGAAAGACAGGTGAGCTTGGAGTAGAGCATCCCAGCTGTCTCGGATGTGGGGTTCATGGAATAGACACTTTGGGTGCCTCATGAAACCCTTTCATCTTAACCCATCTGATTTCTTTGTTTCTTTCTTTCTTTTTTTGAGTTGGAGCTTCGCTCTGTGGCCCAGGCTGGAGTACAGTGGCGTGATCTCCACTCACTGCAACCTCTGCCTCCCAGCTAAGAGTGATTCTCCTGCCTCAGCCTCCCAAATAGCTGGGATTACAAGTGTGTACCACCACACCCGGCTAATTTTTGTATTTTTAGTAGAGACGGGGTTTCACCATGTTGGTCAGGCTGGTTTCTAACTCCTGACCTTATGATCTGCCCGCCTCGGCCTCCCGAAGTGCTGGGATTACAGATGTGAGCCACAGCACCTGGCCCAACCAATCTGATTTCTTACCATTGCTTATTAAATCATTTTTCAAATTCTTCCCATACCAACTCTCACTCTCACCCTCTGCCATCATTCTCCAGCCAGTTCAGTAGTAACTTGTCCAGCTAAAATGTAAACCATCACAGTGAAATTAAGCTTATTAATGAATGCAGCTGCCTACTTAACTAACATCCCTAATTATATTATTCCAGGTATTATTTTAGTACTAATGGCATTGCATAGTAAGCCATCTTTGTTCTTTTTCTCTTTTCTTTTTTTTTTTTCAAGGCAAAGTCTTGCTCTGTTGCCCTGAGGCTGGGGTGCAATGGCACGATCTTGGCTCACTACAACCTCTACCTCCTGGATTCAAGTGATTCTCCTGCCTCAGCCTCCTGAGTAGCTAGGATTACAGGCATGGGCCACCACGTCCCCCTAATTTTTGTATTTTTAGTAGAGACGGAGTTTCACCATGTTGGCCAGGCTGGTCTCAAACTCCTGACCTCAAGTGATCCTCCTCCCTCAGCCTCCCAAAGTGCTGGGATTACAGGCCTAAGCCACCGCGTCCAGCCACTCTGTTTTTCGTTAAAAAGCATTAACTAGCCAGGCACAGTGGCTCACGCCTGTAATCCCAGCACTTTGGGAGGCTGAGGGAGGCAGATCATGAGGTCAGGAGTTCAAGACCTGCCTGGTCAACATTCTGAAACCCCCGTCTTTACTAAAAATACAAAAAAATTAGCTAAGTGTGGTGGCAGGCACCTGTAATCCCAGCTACTTGAGAGGCTGAGGCAGGAGAATCGCTTGGACCCCAGAGGCAGAAGTTGCAGTGAGCCAAGATTGAGCCACTGCACTCCAGCCTGGGCGACAGAGCACGACTCCATCTCACAAAAAAAAAAAAAAAAAAAAGAACATTAACTAATTAAGTCTCTAGGTGAACACATGACCTTAATTGGCTGAGATTCCCATTTAACTCATCCATAATGATGAATTAAACCAATATTAAAATCCCTCATTAACTTACCTACTTAGGGAAATTTATGAGTCATTCTATTTCAGTGGTTCTCAAACTTGAGTGTGCATGGAAATTACCTGGAGCATTTGCTAAAAAACAGATTCCTGGGCCCACCCCTAGAGTTTTCAATTCGGTAGGTCTGAAGTGGGGCCTAAGAATTTGTCCCAGGTTCCCCGGAATCCACACTTTGAGAAATCCTGCATTTTGTCAATGAATATGCCTGTTAGTTAATGTCTCTCAGTTCATTAAAAACAGTTTTAGCCGGGCACCGTGGCTCATGCCTGTAATCCCAGCACTTTGGGAGGCCAAGGAGAGTGGATCACCTGAGGTCAGGAGTTTAGGACCAGCCTGACCAACATGGTGAAACCTCGTCTCTACTAAAAATACAAAAGTTAGGGCCAAGCGCAGTGGCTCAAGCCTGTAATCCCAGCACTTTGGGAGTCCAAGGCGGGTGGATCACGAGGTTTAGAGATCGAGACCATCCTGGTCAACATGGTGAAACCCCGTCTCTACTAAAAATACAAAAAATTAGCTGGGCATGGTGGCGCGTGCCTGTAATCCCAGCTACTCAGGAGGCTGAGGCAGGAGAATTGCCTGAACCCAGGAGGCGGAGGTTGCGGTGAGCCGAGATGGCGCCATTGCACTCCAGCCTGGGTAACAAAAGCGAAACTCTGTCTCAAAAAAAAAAAAAAAAATACAAAAGTTAGTCAGCGGTAGTGACATGAACCTATAATCCCAGCTACTTGGGAGGCTCAGGCAGGAGAATCACCTGTACCTGGGAGGTGGAGGCTACAGTGAGCCATGATAGCGCCACTACACTCCAGCCTGTGCAGTAGAAGGAGGCTGTCTGAAAAAAAAAAAAAAAAAAAAAAAAAACAGTTTCACCAGGCGGGATGCAGTGGCTCATGACTGTAATCCCAACACTTTGGGAGGCCAAGGCAAGTGGATCACTTGAGATAAGGAGTTTGAAACCAGCCTGGCCAACATAGCAAAACCCCATCTCTACTGAAAATATAAAAATGGTTGGGACCTGGCCGGGCGCGGTGGCTCAAGCCTGTAATCCTAGCACTTTGGGAGGCTGAGGCGGGTGGATCACGAGGTCAAGAGATCGAGACCATTCTGGTCAACATAGTGAAACCCCGTCTCTACTAAAAATACAAAAATTAGCTGGGCATGGTGGCGTGTGCCTGTAATCCCAGCTACTCAGGAGGCTGAGGCAGGAGAATTGCCTGAACCCAGGAGGCGGAGGTTGCGGTGAGCCGAGATCGCGCCATTGCACTCCAGCCTGGGTAACAAGAGCGAAACTCCGTCTCAAAAAAAAAAAAAAAAAAAAAAAAAAAAAAAAAAAAATGGTTGGGACCTATAATCCTAGCACTTTGGGAGGCCAAGACAGTCAGATCACCTGAGGTCAGGAGTTCGAGACCAGCCTGGCCAACATGGGGAAACCCTGTCTCTACTAAAAATGCAAAAATTAGCTGGGTGTGGTGACACGTGCCTATAATTCCATCTACTCGGTAGGCTAAGGCAGGAGAATTGCTTGAACCCTGGAGGCAGAGGTTGCAGTGAGCCAAGATCATGCCACTGCACTCCAGCCTGGGCAACAGAGCAAGACTCTGTCTCAAAACAAAACAAACAACAAAAACAATTAGCCAGGTGTGGTGGTGTGTGCCTGTTGTCCCAGCTACTCTGGAGGCTGAGGCAGGAGAATCACTTGAACACGGGAGGTTAATGTGAGCTGAGATTGCACCACTGCGTGCCAGCCTGGGCAGCAAAGCAAGATTCCATCTCAAAAAAGCAAAAAACAAAAAACAAAACAGTTTCACCAAGAAATCTATCATAGATTTACTTGGATCTCTCAAACTCCTAATTATATGTCTAGACCCTAGCTAAAAAGCCTCACAGTGGGTGACACAGAGAGTCTGTGAATTGGGGAATCCACCGAGTGTCTTTGGAGAGGCCCTACTCCTCCCTCAGAACTGGGTGTTTTCAGCCACCCCCACGCTTGCTCCCTATAGCATCTAGTCCAACCTCCTGGATCTTCCTCCTCCCACCCACAATCCTTGGTGTCCTGAGCACACGCCCTGTCACCTGGATGGACCATGATCAAGATGAGCAACAGCATCCAGGCCATGTCGAAAGATGTCCCAGTTGGCGAAGGGGATCTGAGCAGTGAGGTCCGGGTGGAGGAGGGAGGACTCACTACTTGTAGCCAGGCCTTTGGTCACCAGATGGGGACGGGGAGCTTCCTATGACACACAGGACTCACACATCACTTGGAAACGATCACAACTGCCAGGGACCTCGAGCATCAAATGCATGCCTCCCTGAGGAGAGAGGACGCTGCTGGTGGTGATGTCTGACTCTAGGAGGACAAGAGGCCAGCTTGTGGCAGCCTACCTAAGCGTGTGAGGGGGAGGGTGGGGCTTAGATGGCTGCTAACCCGAGGATGAGTGGGCGGTTGGGCGGGTGAGACCAGGATGTGGGTTCCCCCACCTCCCGAAGTTCGAGAAGACCATCTTTTACCCAGAATAAGCCTCCAGGAGCCCTCCTCAGCCTAGAAGCTAACCTACTTCCTCTCCCCACTGCTCACCAGTGCCCAGACCCATCCTACCCATTCCCTTCCTGGAGTCTGGCCTCACTGAACCCCGCAGCTGCTCCAGGATTTCTATGAGGGATTAAGAGAAGCAAGCCGATTGGTGAAGCGATATTTTATTTAGTAATCACCCTGGGGGTGTGTGTGTGTGTGTGTGTGTGTGTGTGTGTGTGTCTTTTTGTGTGGTTGGTTGAGTGTTTTTTTGGTTTTTTTGTGTGTGTGTGTGTTTTTTTTCTGAGACGGAGTTTCGCTCTTGTTGCCCAGGCTGGAGTGCAATGGCGCGATCTTGGCTCACCGCAACCTCCGCCTCCTGGGTTCAGGCAATTCTCCTGCCTCAGCCTCCTGAGTAGCTGGGATTACAGGCACACGCCACCATGCCCAGCTAATTTTTAGTATTTTTAGTAGAGACGGGGTTTCACCATGTTGACCAGGATGGTCTCGATCTCTTGACCTTGTGATCCACCTGCCTCGGCCTCCCAAAGTGCTGGGATTACAGGCTTGAGCCACCGCGCCCAGCCGTGTTTTTTTTTTTTTGAGATAGAGTCTTACTCTGTTGCCCAGGCTGGAGTGCAGTGGAGTGATCTTGGCTCATTGCAACCCCCGCCTCCCAAGTTTAAGCAATTCTCCTGCCTCAGCCTCCCAAATAGCTGGGATTACAGGCACACACCACCACACCTGGCTAATTTTTGTATTTTTTGTTGAGATGGGGTATTACTATGTTGGCCAGGCTGGTCTCAAAATCCTGATCTCAAATGATCAGCCAACCTCGCCCTCCCAAAGTGCTGGGAATGCTGTTTTGGTTTTTTGAGATAGGGTCTGTCTCTGTCTCTGCTCGGCTGGAGTTCAGTGGCACCATCATGGCTCTTGGCAGACTCAACCTCCCGGGCTCAATCAATCCTCCCAATTCAGTCTCCTGAGTAGCTGGGACTATAGGCACACACCACCACACCAGGTTAATTTTTGTATTTTTTGTAGAGATGGGGTCTTCCTATGTTGCCCAAGCTGGTATCCAACTCCTGAGCTCAAACAATTCATCCCTCGGCATTCCAAAGTGCATGAGCCACCATGGCCGGCCTCAATCACCTGTTTTCCTTTGATAGTGTTGACTTAGGTGATTTAGCAGAGGAGTCAGTATAGCTGATGGAAGAGTTTGGATTCATTCATATTTGTATCTCAATTAAGGGAATACACCCCTAGCAGAGATCAGCTTTTTTTTTTTTTACACCGAGTTTCGCTCTTTTGCCCAGGCTGGAGTGCAGTGGTTTCACTCTCAGCTCACTACAACCTCTACCTTCTGGTTGCAAGCAATTCTCCTGCCTCAGCCTCTCGCTTAGCTAGAATTACAGGCGCCCACCACCACACCTGGCTAATTTTTGTATTTTTAGTACAGATGTGGGTTTCACCATGTTGGCCAAGCTGGTATCGAACTCCTGACCTTGTGTTCCACCTGCCTCGGCCTCACAAAGTGCTGGGATTACAGGCATGAGCCACTGCACCCAGCCCATAGTCAGCTTTATCTAGTAACTTCTACAGGAACTTGCTTTATCTAGTGCCTTCTACAAGGACTTATTACCCACTGGGAAATCCACCAATTATTTTATTCACCATTTAACTAGCATTTATTAAGAACCTGCAAACTGCATTTTTTTTTGTTGTTTTTTTTTTTGTTTTTTTTTTGTTTTTTTTTTTTTTTTTTGTGAGACGGAGTTTCGCTCTTGTTACCCAGGCTGGAGTGCAATGGCGCGATCTCGGCTCACTGCAACCTCTGCCCCCTGGGTTCAGACAATTCTCCTGCCTCAGCCTCCTGAGTAGCTGGGATTACAGGCACGCGCCACCATGCCCAGCTAATTTTTTTTTGTATTTTTAGTAGAGACGGGGTTTCACCATGTTGACCAGGATGGTCTCGATCTCTTGACCTTGTGATCCGCCCGCCTCGGCCTCCCAAAGTGCTGGGATTACAGGCTTGAGCCACTGCGCCCGGCAGTATTTTTTTTTGCATATTATTTTTAATATGCATAAAATTTATTTTTACACACACATGCATTACGGGTAACTCCAAGGTTATACAGGCATACCTCAGAGATATTTCGTGTTTAATTCCAAACCACCATAATAAATGAAGTATCACAATAAAGCAAGTCACAGATTCTTTGGTTTCCCAGTACATATAAAAGTTATGTTTCAGCCGGGTGCAGTGGCTCACGCCTGTAATCCCAACACTTTGGGAGGTCGAGGCAGGTGGATCACGAGGTCAAGAGATTGAGACCATCCTGGTCAACATGGTGAAACCCCGTCTCTACTAAAAATACAAAAAAATTAGCTGGGCATGGTGGCGCGTGCCTGTAATCCCAGCTACTCAGGAGGCTGAGGCAGGAGAATTGCCTGAACCCCGGAGGCAGAGGTTGCGGTGAGCCGAGATTGTGCCATTGCACTCCAGCCTGGGTAACAAGAGAGAAACTCCGTCTAAAAAAAAAAAAAAAAAAAAAAAAAAAATTATATTTCATTATACTGTAGTCTATTAGACATACAATAGCATTATGTCTGAAAAAAAATCTACATACCTAACTTTCAAAATATTTTATTGCTAAATAACATTAAGGATAATCTGACCTTTCAGCAAGTAAGAATCTTTTTGCTGGTGTAGGGTCTTGCCTTGATGTTGATTTGATGACTGCTGATTGATTAGTGTGGTGTTGCTGAAGGTTGGGGTGGCTGTGGCAATTTCTTTCTTTTTTTTTTTTTTTTTTTTTTGAGACGGAGTTTCGCTCTTGTTACCCAGGATGGAGTGCAATGGCGCGATCTCGGCTCACCGCAACCTCCGCCTCCTGGGTTCAGGCAATTCTCCTGCCTCAGCCTCCTGAGTAGCTGGGATTACAGGCATGTGCCACCATGCCCAGCTAATTTTTTGTATTTTTAGTAGAGATGGGGTTTCACCGTGTTGACCAGGATGGTCTTGATCTCCTGATCTCGTGATCCACCCGCCTCAGCCTCCCAAAGTGCTGGGATTACAGCCTTGAGCCACCGCACCCGGCGGCAATTTCTTAAAAGAAGACAACAGTGAAGTTCATTGCATCGACTGACTCTCACAGATTTCTCTGTGGCAAGCGATGCTGTATGATAGCCTTTTACTCACAGTAGAACTTCTTTCAAAACCTGCCACTAGGCCGGGGGTGGTGGCTCACGCCTGTAATCTAAGCACTTTGGGAGGCTGAGGCGGCCGGATCACCTGAGGTCAAGACCAGCCTGACCAACGTGGTGAAACTCCGTCTCTACTAAAAATACAAAATTAGCCGAGTGTTGTTTTGTTTTGATTTGTTTGAGACAGAGTCTTACTCTGTCGCCCAGGCTGGAGTGCAGTGGTGCGATTTTGGCTCACTGCAACCTCTGCCTCCCAGGTTCAAGCAATTCTCCTACCTCAGCCTCCCAAGTAGCTGGGATTACAGGTGCGTACCACCACGCCTGGCTAATTTTCATATTTTTAGTGGAGATGGGGTTTCAACATATTGGTCAGGCTGGTCTTGAACTCCTGCTCTTATGATCTGCCAATCTCAGCCTCCCAAAGTGCTGGGACTACAGGCATGAGCCACTGCGCCTGGCTATCTGTTCAAGTTTAATAAGATTGTGGCAATTCAGTCACATTTTCAGGCTCCACTTTTTTTTTTTTTTTTTTTTTTTTTTTTTTTTTTTTTTTGAGATGGAGTCTCACTCTGTTTTCCAGGCTGGAGTGCAGTAGCACGATCTCAGCTCACTGCAACCTCTGCCTCCTCTCGGGTTCAAGCAATTCTTCTGCCTCAGCCTTCTGAGTAGCTGGTACTATAGGCATGCACCACCACGCCGGGCTAATTTTTGCCTTTTTGAGTAAAAACAGGGTTTCACCATATTGGACAGGCTGGTCTCAAACTCCTGACCTTGTGATCCGCCCACCTTGGCCTCCCAAAGTGCTGTATTATAAACATGAGCTACCACGCCCAGCCCAGGCTCCACTTCTAATTCTAGTTCTCTTACTATTTCTATCACATCTGCAGTTACTTCCGCCAAAGAAGTCTTGAATCCTTCAAGGTGATCTATGAGGGTGAGAATCAACTTCCAAAACTCCTATAAATGTTAATATTTCTACCTCCCATGAATCATGAGTCATGAATTTTTTTGTTTTTGTTTGTTTGTTGTTTGTTTGTTTGAGACACAGTATCTGTCACCCAGGCTGGAGTGCAATGGCGCGATCTCGGCTCACCGCAACCTCCGCCTCCTGGGTTCAGGCAATTCTCCTGCCTCAGCCTCCTGAGTAGCTGGGATTACAGGCACACGCCACCACGCCCAGCTAATTTTTTGTATTTTTAGTAGAGACGGGGTTTCACCATGTTGACCAGGATGGTCTTGATCTCTTGACCTTGTGATCCACCCGCCTCGGCCTCCCAAAGTGCTGGGATTACAGGCTTGAGCCACCGCGCCCGGCGAGTCATGAATTTTTTTGTTTTTGTTTGTTTGTTGTTTGTTTGTTTGAGACACAGTCTCTGTCACCCAGGCTGGAATGCATTATCTTTGCTCACTGCAACCTCCACTTCTCAGGTTCAAGCAATTCTCCTGCCTCAGCAGGAGACAGGGTTTCACCACGTTGGCCAGGTTGGTCTTGAACTCCTGACCTCAAGTGATCCCCTGCCCTGGCCTCCCAAAGTGCTGGGATTACAAGCATGACCCAATGCCTGGCATGAATGTTCTTAATGGCATTTAGAATGGTAAATCTCTTCCAGAAAGCTTTCAATTTACATTGCCCAGATCCATCAGAGGATTCACTATCTATGGAAGCTACAACCTTATGA